GAGAAGTTCCGTTGGTTCTCACTCCCATGTTAGCTGCAACTGAGTGTGTCAGGGAAGTGTACTCAGGTGACCGGGAAGGGATACAGATGTTTCCAGAACTTTCCTGGCACGCCGGGCTGTGAGCATTGTTGTGATTGTGGGTTCTTTACTCTCCACTTACATAAACATTTGTACACAAGTATGAATGTGCAACCCTGCATGTGTGTGTGCTGGTGTGTGTATCCCAGGAGGACACGTGAGTGCAAAGACACTAATCCGTGGCTTGAAGATCACCAGCAAAGAGAAACGGGGATGTCAGCTGCTGGCTAGAAACTCGGCAGCTGGCCGACACTCTCCACCAGGGAAAGCCTTCTGCCAAAATAATTGAGAATCTTGTAAAGATAACTTTCCCATGGAGCCAACAAGAATGCTGGGCCAGAGAGACAAAAGGCACGCATCGTAATCGTGACAGTCATTCATAAAACACCCTTTGTCTATTCAGGGAGGCTTCAGTACTTGGCTGTGTGGGCTAGGGCAAAGAAAGAACAAGGAGGAATTTTTATCGAGTTACTCTTTCAGTGAACTGGGCTTTCTACGAAAGGATTGAAGCCGGCTTCATTCAGTACTTTTGTTTTGAAAGCAAGGCTTGTTTTACATTAGAGACACCGTATGAAAAATGATTTTGATGAATGGTTCCTAGGAACGTTTTAACAACTGATGAGTTTGAGAACTGAATTCAATCCAGGGGATAAAGAATTTGTTGTTGTTGCTATTTTAATGTTTTCTATTAGTATTGTATTAGTATTCTGTTAGCTTGTATTACGTGTACATGATGCTGGGTTTCATTATGACTTTCATACATGTAGTAGTGTGTTCTGGCCATGTTCACCTGGGTCCTCTTACTGTCCTAAGTCTCCATTCTCTTCCAAACTAACAAACCTATTTCCTTTCTGATTTCATAGCTTCTTTGTGTGGGGGGGAGAGGAGGGAGAGGGAGAAGGAGGGGAAAGGAGGGAGGGAGAGAGAAAAAGAGAAAGAGGAAGGAAGGGAGGGAGGGAGGGAGGGAGGAGAAAGAAGAGACCCAGTGAGTTTCACTAGGGTTTCACCCTACAGGAGCATGGGTGGGGGTTTGCTTATGGGAATGTAGGGTACCTTACCAGTGGCTGCGCCCCTGAAGACAATGTCTATTCCATGGACTGCTTAACTTTTAGATAGGGATTACTTCTCTGGTAAAGGGACATTAAACATCTGTCTACTCCGTGGGCATAATCCCTGCCCTCAGCCATAGCAGCAAATGACCATGGGAGGAGGCCTACCATTGTATGCACTGAGTTTTAAGAATTTTCCTGAGTTTTTTAAATGAAATTTACATGAGGTTTTTTTTGGGTTTTGTTTTTGTTTGTTTGTTTGTTTTGTAAATTTGTTTATACATTTTACCTCCGGGCCATAGTATCTCCTCCCTCCTCTCCTCCCGTTCCTTCCCCCCATCTCCCCTCTGCTTCTGTTAGAAAGGGGCAGACCTCCTATGGGTATCAACAAAGCATGGCCTATCAAGCTGCTGCGGTAAGACTAAGTACCTCCCTGTATTAAGGCAGAACAAAGCAACCCAGTATGAGAAATAGGTTCCCCAAAGCCAGTGTTAGGAACAGCCCCTGCTCCCATTGTTAGGAATCCCACAAGTAGACCAAGCTACACATCTGTCACATATATGTAGAGGGGCTAGGTCATTCCCATGCAGGCTCCATTTCTGGTGGGAGTGCAGAATTAGACAGCCATGTTGAAAATCAGTATGGTGATTTCTCAGAAAATTGGGAATCAATCTCCCTCAAGATAGTCTGCTTGTTTGTTTTGTTTTTTGTTGTTTTGTTTTTTAAGGATTTATATGCTAGGTAGCTCATCTAAAGCTATCCATCAGCAACTGGAATAGGGCCAGCTGTGAAGAGAAGGCTCCAGAACTTAGCAGCATTCCTCCAGAGGCCTCCCACCCTATTGGCACCAGCAGTGGAGTTCTGATCAAATATTTATTAGCCATGCTTCTGGCTGGGCTGTCTCGATAGGGGGAAACTAAAGGATCGAAAGAAGGGTTGCTCATCAGAACAACATCCTAGGCGTGGATGAACATCTGGTCTTTAATTACACCGGGCGCTTTCCAACACCCCTCCCTCCTGTACTTCTGATGCATGACCCTTCTTTCGTAACTGTATCTAGTCACGGCATTTCCAGAACCGCTCCATCTAGGGAGGAGGCCCACAGCCAGTGAGTCAGATCTGTAACTCGTGAAAAGGATTACGTGAATTAAGAGCAGATGCCCTGGTGTACTTAGTCCTGAGTAGTTAGAGGATACTGTCATCTCTCACACCATTTGAGTCTATTTTCTGTCACTGTAACAAAATACCCCAAAGCGTATAATTTATAAAGACTAGGTGTTTATTCTCCCCACGGCTCTGGGGTCTGGGAAGTTCAAGAGCGTGGTCCCTGTATCTGCTAGCACCTTCGAAGACATCACAGTGAGGATGCATACCTCAGTTCAGATCTATCTTCTTCCTCTTTCTAACCCACCAGTCACCTCTTGGGAACCCCATCCTGATGACATCATTCAGGTCCCATTACCCGCCAAAGCCCCAGCTTCAAACACCATTGACCTATGAATGTGGGCAGTCAGTTTCTAGCCCAGGGGATCTGGTGGAGATAAAGGTGCAAGGTGTGGCATCCCGCCACAACAGAATCCAACCTGCTCCAGCCTCCTCTGTCCTTCATCCGAGTGTGAGTGCAGGAAGTCAGGGTCAGGGTTGGTGGGATGACTTGGTGGGTAAAGCACTTGCCATGTGTCTTAGTTTGACTCTGCAGCCATGATAAAACATTGACCAAAATACAGTCTGGAGAGGAAAGGGTTTATTTGGCTTACAGATCATAACCATCATCAAAGGATGCTTCCAGGCAGAGCCTAGAGGCTGGAACTGGAGCAGAGACAGGAGCACTGCTTCACTGCTGACTGGCTTGCTCTCCAAGACTCTCCTTCTCCTCCTTCCTTCCCTTTTGGTTTTTCAAGACAATTTCTCTGTCTAGCTTTTGGAGCCTGTCCTGGAACTTACTCTGTAGCTCAGACTGGGTCTCAAACTCACGTAGATCCACCTGCCTCTGCCTCCCGAGTGCTGTGATTAAGGTCATGCACCACCACCGCCCGGTCCCTCTTATAAAAAAGTATTTCTGGGCAGTGGTGGCACATGTTTTTAATTCCAGCACTTGGGAGGCAGAAGCAGGCATATCTTTGTGAGTTCCAGGACAGCCAGGGCTGCACAGAGAAACCCTGTCTTGAAAAACAAACAAGAAAGTCTGACTGTGTAGCCCTGGCTAGCCTGGAACTCACTATGTAGGCCTTAGTCGTCCTTCTTATACAACCCCGAACTGTTGCCCAGGGACGGCACCACCCATAGTGTGCTGGACTATCTCACATCAATCTTTAAGCAAGAAAAATGCCCTACAGACACGCACACACAGGCCAATCTGACGGAGGTAATTCCCAGCTTGAGATTCCCTCTTCCTGGGTGACTCTAGTTTGTGTCAGATTGACAGGAACTCACCGGTGTGTCATGGCAGCATGCCGACCTGAGTGTGAAGCCCCAGAACCCACAGAAAGCCGGATGCTGTGGTGCACATCTTTGACTCCAGTGCTTCCCTGAAGAGATGGGAGGTGGAGACAGGATAATCCCCAATTCACAGGTCAGCTGGCCTGACTCACACAGTGGCAAACAATAAGATACCCTGTCTCAAGCAATGTGGAAGTAGAGAACTGACCCCTGAGGTTGTCCTCTGACCTCTACACACACAACATAGCATATATCTGCCTTCTCTCTCTCTCTCTCTCTCTCTCTCTCTCTCTCTCTCTCTCTCTCACACACACACACACACACACACACACAGCACACACACAGCACACACACAGCACATGAGCTAGGGCAGTGGGGTCAATAAGTTTAGCATTTGGTACTAAGCATCCTGTTGACATTTCAACACCTTTAAGGGTACTGCTGACTCCATATGTAATCTGGTGATGCATACATTTAATCCCAACACTCAGGGGGCAGAGGCAGGTGGATCTCTGCTAGTTCAAGGTCAGCCTGGTCTACAGAGTGAGTTTCAGGACAGCCAGGGATTCGCAGTGAGACCCTGTCTCAAAAAAGAAGTTGAAATCAATCTATGAGGTCAGTGGGTCAGTGATCTTAATTATCCAAGTGAGCAGCAATCTCAGTTTAACAGTAATGGAGATTGGGTTTATTGTTGTCGTTTTAAATTTTACTACATCTTATTTACTCACTTATGGGGGCAGGGCTTGTGCCATGGCATACATGTGCCCATCAGAGGACAATTTGCAAAAGTTAGTTCTCGCTTTCATCTGCATGAGTCCCAAATTTGATCTAGATTATCAGGCTTGGCAGCAAGCACCTTTACCTTCCCAGCCATCTTTCCAGCCACATGAGTCTTTTTTTTTTTTTGACTAATTAGTGCTGGGTATTGAGACCAGTGCCTTGGGCACACCAAGCATGTGTTCTGCTGCTGGACTACCGTTAACCCTGAAAGTTTAATTGTCAAAAGTGAACGAACACTCATTTTTCTTGGACCTTGTAGGCTTGCACAGAGCATGGACCCAGGTATGTTTAGAAAACTTTCAGATAATTTTACAGAGTTTTTCTGGTCTGTGTAATGCTCTGCCCATCTGAATGCACCAGTCAGGAAGACACTGACTCTACTAGGAAGGGAAAAGTAGGCAGGTTCTTGTCCAGCCCTAGCTGGCAGTGTCACCAAGTGTTTCCATTGTCCTTTGCTTCTCTATGGAGGCCAGGCCATGGTGTGTGTCAGTGGCGCCATAAGGAAGTGGTGCAGACCCTGGTACTGTGACAGGGCAGAAAGGACCACAACTTACAGAATAGGAAACAACCATGACTGTAGGTGGCCAATTGTCTTTGCCAATTGGATTCGACATCATCTGCATACCGCATCCCTGACTGACCTTTCTTTTTCAGGGCCCGTAGGCGGACTAGAAGATGATATTGTGACCCCAGGTACAGGGGATGGCATGGTGAACCCAGGTCTGGAAGACAGAATAGCAACCACGGGTCCTACTGGAGGATTGAATGAATTTACTGGCAAGGTACCCCTGGGGAGTGTCCCGGAAAAGGGGGAGTTGGCTCCAAGGGCAGGCTGTCACATGCCGGGGGATGACATATACTTAGATATGAAATCAACTACTATACAATGAAGCAGTGGTGTGGCTTACCACAGAAGGTACATCCAAGTCTCATCCAGAGACAAGGGAGCTGGTGCGGTGGACACAGACAGTTTGAGAGCAATAGACCACGTCTTCTCAGAATAGTATGAAATCAGCTTAGTATTTGCCAGTCTGAACTGAGGCCAGGTGCAGGCAGGTCTCTGTAAATATGAGCTAGCCTGGTCTACACAGTGAGTTCCAGGATAGCTAGAGCTACATAGGGAGACTCTGTCAAACAAACCAACAAACTGGATTCAGGGAGCTTTAGTAGGTCCCTGGGGAGGTGGGAGAAGTTCACCCAGAGAGAGCATGCAAGCCCCAAGCCAGTTACTACACAACCTCATTCTGTGTATCTCTTTATCCAGGTCATTTGTTCTGTCCTCAGTGACGAGCAATGAAAGAGTTGAAAAGCCTGCCCTGGGCTGGGGAAATGGCTCAGTCAATAACATGCATGTCTTGCAAGCATGAAAACCTAGTTTCAATCCCTAGAACCCACATAAAAGCCAAAGGTGGTGGTACCTAGAAAAGTGAATCTTTGGGGCTTGCTGGCCAGCTAGCCTAACCTAACAGGCATGCCCCAAGCCAGTCAGAGATACTCTCATGAAACAACAAACACATTCACACACACCCACTGTGTAGATGGATTTTCTTTGGGCTGTCAGCTCACCAAAAATGACATGAAGTCTTATGATTAATTGTGAAAGCTTGGCCTATAGCTTAGAATTGTCCCATTCGCTCTTATAACTTAAATTAACCCATTTATATTAATCTATGTTTGGTCTCATGGCTTTTTCCCTCTCTTCCATCATGCACTTCCTGTTCTCACTCCATCTCCTTTGGTGTCTCTCACACCTATATGTATTTTCTCATTTCCTCTTCTTTACCCTCTGTCTGGAAGTCCTGCCTAACTTCTTCCTGACTAGCTATTGGCCAGTCTGCTCTTTATCAAACCAATCACAGTGACTCATATTCACACAGTGTAAACAAATATTCCACAACAGCCCCCCCCACACACATGCATTTCACACATAAACCCAGAACCACTCACTTCCTAACCTTCCACTGTCACCGAATAGCTGTGAGGACCTTTCCTGGAGGGAAGCAGTGCTCATTATGAAATTTCTTCGGCTTGTTCATTGAGTTTACTTGAAAAAGCTGCCCATGGTGTACTGAGAATGTATTGGAAGGGCCTGGTACAAAGTAAGCTGTCAGTGACGGTGAACTCTGCTCTTCCACACAGTTCTGCCAAGTCAGTATTACGAGAGGAAAGTGCTATTCCAGTTTGAGAGAGAGAAAAACTTAGGTGTGAGTGAGCCAGTGTTTTTTTGTTTTTTTTTTTTTTAATTATTTATTTATTATGTATACAATATTCTTTCTGCATGTATGCCTGCAGGCCAGAAGAGGGCACCAGACCTCATTACAGATGGTTGTGAGCCACCATGTGGTTGCTGGGAATTGAACTCAGGACCTTTGGAAGAGCAGGCAATGCTCTTAACCACTGAGCCATCTCTCCAGCTCCCGAGCCAGTGTTTTTGAAAGAGATCAAGGGACAGGAAGTCTACATGCTGAATATTTAAAGTTTATTTCTGGACTGAACCTGGTTTTATCCCCATCTCCACTCTTGTTTATTTTTTGTTTGTTTGTGTCCATCTGGAATTTATACTTGCGTTTGTGAAATGTTTGCTACCTTAAAGTCTTTCCTGCAGGACGTCAGACGTTGTCCATTCCAAACCTCAGGCTCTGTCTCCTTTTGCCTCACCCACTTCTAACAGGTACCAACACACAGAGAGATTCCCTTAGAGGAACGGCCAACCCCAGAAATCCCAGACCGTGATCACGAAGAACATAAGAGTACAACCACTGTCAAAATGGTGACTAGCCGTTCTGTGGATCAGTCAACAAGTCACCCCAACAAAGGTGGGTCTGCCCTGGTATCACCCAGGAAGCTCTCTCAGTCTTGAATGATAACTAGTCGCAACCCCCTCCAAGGACCCATCACTGGCTCCCGGTGTTGTATTGCAGACCCCGTATTAAGAGCCTTGTGCTGGCTGCTGAAGAGATGGCTCAGTGGCTAAGAGCACATACTTCCCTGAACCCTGGTTCTGTTCCCAGCATCTCACGGCCTCCCGTGACTCCAGCTCTGAGTAACCCAACACCTCTGTCTTCTTAGGGTGCCACGCACAAGCACATACACATAATGAAAGTAAAATCAATATTTAAAAAGAAAAAATATCTGTGTAAGATGAGTCATATGGCTCAGTAGGTCAGCAGGTTACGGTGCTGGCTGCCAAGTTTGACTGCCTGAGTTCAATCCCTGGAGCGCATATGAAGGAGAGAATCAAAGCCTGGAAATTGTCTTCTGCAGGGCACCACAGCACGGTGCCCACATCCATACAGATACTTAATCAATCAATCAATAATAATAATTGTAAAAGAATCTTGCATTGACCCTCAAGGGCAGCAATTCTACACTGACGTTTCCTGGTTTACCTTATGGCTATTCTAAGTCAGATCCTCCAGGACTGTGTGTTGTATGCATAATCCAGGTTGGTGCCTGTGATCTGAACTGACCTTGTAGCTGAGGCTAACCATGAACTCCTGATTTTCCTGACTTTACTTTCCAAGTGCTGGGACTGCATATGACATGGAACCTGACTGACTGTTGTATGTTACTCTTTAATGCATACTTCCAGGTCCAGTTGCCAGCTGAGATTTAAGGACTCTATAGTACTTCTAAGGACTTATCAAATGATTTTAGATCCAGGTGTGGTGGTACATAAACGCTCACATTCTAAGGCACAGGGATTGCAAATCAGAGGCTAGCCTGGGCTACACAGTAAGACTTTATTTGACCAAACAATAACATGGGGGCTACATGAGGTGCTGTCTCAAGAACAAAGCAAAATCTTTCACAGTTGTTTGCCTGTGTAGACCACAATCCACAGTATTGACACATGGAAGCCACTCAGTAGTCACAACCAAATGAACGGATAAAAGCCATAATATGTACACACAGTGGAATACGACTTCACTTTAAAAGAGAAATAAATGCTTACACATGCATTGAGTCCACTTGCATGAGGCACCCAGAGGTGCTGAAATCAATAGATGTAGACAGCGGAATGGTGGCTTCTAGGAGCTGAGGGAGGGGAAAACAAAGAGCTTCTGTTTACTATGTATGTTTCCATTTTGCATAATGGGAAGGATCCATGTTTGGAAAATGTGGTTCAGAAGCAGAATACTTGCCTACCATGGCTAAGATCCTGGGCCTGAGCCCTGCACACACACACACACACACACACACACACACACACACACACACACACACA